CGTTTCTTTTGTGGTGCTGTTTGTGTGATATGTACTTCATTTAGTGTCGCTCTGTTAGACAAGGCAGATACCAGGTTCACTAGATTTCTTTAGTTTCATCCGCCCTCGGCAACATTTCAAAGTGTCCCACAAAAAGATGTCAATCAAAACTTGCCACCACCACCACCTAGACTGTACCTGAGAACAAGTAGTTTCGTTGACACATCAAGCAATCGAGCACACGGAGAATGTGTTATATATATCTCTTTTTCTCTATAGAGTGTGATATATATATATATATATATATATATATATATATATATATATATATATATATATATTCATATATATATGTGTGTGTGTGTGTGTGTATATATAATATATATATATATATATATTTATGTGTGTGTGTGTGTGCACAGATTGGCCTTAAACAAAAGTGAGAACATCTCATAGCAAAGAGTTCTTTTAAAAAATTGAATTAAGGGATCGTTCGCAAATTACGTCACGCTCAGGGCGTGAAGGGTCAAGAATTTGTGACGTCACGTTTAAAAAAAAATTATTTTTTAAAATCTAAAATTTTCTAATTTTGAAAAATATTTTTTTTCTTTCATTTTAAAAACATTAATTTGAGTTCGAAATTGCCTCAGGTATTATAGGTACTTTGAAACTCAGTCGCTCACATCTTTTGCGCATTTCGAAAAATGGTGCAAAAACTGTTGTGGCCATTTTACATTCGGCGCGGGGATGACTTCGTTGTTTCCCGCAATAGTGTTCTAATGATACTGCATCTTAATCCATTATGGGAAAATGTTAATGAATAAAATAAAATCTTAGTTTACTTATGAAAATTGTATGTATATTTTGATAATTTTAGGTGTGACGTGACACTTGGGGGGGGGGTAAAGAGTCTGTGACAGTGGGGGGGAGAGTCTAAAAAAGAGCATTTTTTACGTGACGTAATTTACGAACGACCCCTAATGTAATGATTATGGTCACCGGAAGTTATCATAATAATGACTGCATATAGTTATGTAGGTACATAAATAAATCAGTAAACGTATACATTAACAATAAATGTTGTTGTGGCTAAATTACATTGTAAGAGATATAATCATTTTTTCCTTGGCCACCCAGTATAAATCTATATATTGTGATTTAANGGGGGGGGGGGGGGGTGTGGGTGGGGGAGGGGGGTGCATTATAAATTACGTTCATTGCCAGAACATGCGTACCTCTGATTCTTAGCCTGCATATTACGGTATTTGATTTTTTACTTTCTGAACAAAACTGAAAATAAGTTCAGTTATGCCAATTATGAGTATATTTTAATGGATAGTTAGTTTTTCTGTAACGTAATTTCATGAAATATAAAATTGTCTCCCTTACCACATTTAATCATCGCATTTCCGCTATTTCCCGCAACCTGGACGTTCCCTGTGATGAAGTCATCAATACATGCGTGCCATTCTATTTGATGGTATAAACCAAGGCAGGCGTGCCTGGGGAATGGCAGACACTGGGATATTTTCTGACAAGCAGCGTCTTAATTATTGGGTGGTTTTGTGTTTTATTGTACTTTGTTTTATCGTACTTTGTTTTAGTGTACTTTGTTTTAGTGTACTTAGTTTTATAGTGCTTTGTTTCAGCATATTTTGGTCTTTAGAATGAGCCCGTTATTAATAGATATCTTTGTCTTGTGTTTACCGACCACCTGGTTTGCTGCATTTACTCCAGGTGGCTCAAGATGGTATTTCAGGGGATGGGGGTTAACAGTTACTTTATTAAATATTTCACAAATTCATATTCTAAGCTGTCTACTCTTTGAAATTAAATTTTTAAAATAATAAAAGTTCACTTTTCCCTCACAAAATGTGAAAATTCGTAAGGTTTAGACTTATCCAAATACTTTCTATGGGCTGCGTGACTTCGTTGCACATTTCGTAAAGCAGGGCGTCATTTCAGGCTTTTTTCAACAAAAAAAAAGGGGGGGGGGGCGCAAAATAGTACATAGCAATTCTGGAGGTGCCACAGTGCATCGCAATTTAAATAAAACCTGCAATTTCACGGGGAACAATGCCCCACCCACCCTACCCAAATGACGTCCCTTGCTGGGGTGGGGGGTGAAAGATATCGAAAGTATCCGGCTTTAACGCATTCTTAACACCTGCGGTGTTTAAAAAAAAAACACTCGTCTAAAAACATGTTCAATTGTTCTTACAATAGCTAGTCAACAATGTGAGCTGACTCGGGACTCCATATCTGCATATTGCTGACAATAATTTAACTGTTTAAATCTGTATTTGATTTAGCTTTATTGTGCAGCTGTTGCAAGTTGCAATCCGTCTGCAGCTTTTTGAGAACTCTGTACGATACCAACCAATACAACTTTAGTAGGCTGCAGTCGTACACGATTAAGAGGACGCAAGAGCTGTCTTTATAATGCAAACAGAAAGTTGATAAAAACTAATTTTGATAATAATAGCAACATTCATATTTGGATTTCTTAACAAAATATCCTTATGGAAGTGAGCAATGCAAAAAAAAAAAAAAATGATAATTAAAATGTTTATTAAAAATAACTCATCTTTTAGGCCTTGGTCAACACATCAAACTAATTTCTTTATCACACGACGATAATTTTTCAACAAAGAAAATCTGAGATTTTTGTATTTAAACTTAAAGGAAAGTCTAAAAATCAATTTAACATTTTCCCTGCGATGAAGATAGGACATAATAATTTTATTGCTCCACATAATTAGAAATGTGTTTTGATTACATTTTCAACACATGGAACAATATTCTTACCAAGACAACAGTTATAAAATAGAACAATTTATACATAAGTATAATACATCTAATAAATTTCGAGCGCAAATATTAGTCATCATATACCATAAAACATCACTCCCTAAGTGACAATATTGACCTAAAATTAAATATGTGTTGTTTAATTTTTGTAATAGTCGGTTGAGCACGCTGGAAAATTCTAACAAGTTGGGGAATACAATAATTTGTATATATTTCGGTCCTAACTTTGAGTTTGAGGGAGAGAATTCGCCCGGTAGAGCTGTTGCTGGGTATCTGTGGTGAAGAGGGAGGGATTTATCCTCTAATTTTTTTAAATTTAAAAAAAAAAAGTTTTACAAATGTTTTTTGCTTCAAATAGTTCTTCAACCGAGTGTAGTTTAGTTTTCGTCATATTACCACTCGCTTTCTTGATAAGGATCGATTTTTTGTTTGTTTGTAAATCATCGGCTGAATGTTCGATTTCTAGAACGAATTGCTAGATCAACTTGACATTAACGCCCAAGCAAATAAGTCAAGGATTCTCAAATTCAGAAAGGCTTCTTTATTATCCGTTATTTCATGGTCGTCCAAGTGAATCGTATCGTCCACTGGCTATTTTGGGCAGACGGCTCCCCTGGAATTGAGCAACCACTAGACGATTGCGCAGCGTGACCCTGCCTCATGTCGCCACTGTGCTATTGATCTATTCAACGGCCGTTTTTATATTATTCTAATCACCAGACTTCTTTTCTTTTCCTTCACTCCTAAATCGCTGACAGGTGCGTGAGGCAACTGCTAGGGAAAGCCAATTTAGTCTTTCGGCTGCCTCTGTGGGAGCTGCCACTGTGGGAGCTGCCACTGTGGGAGCTGCCACTGTGGGAGCTGCCTTCAGAGATCCTTCTCTATTACCTGTGTATAGTTTGGCGCACACTCTCTAAATTATTGGGAAAAAAAATCTTTTAATTAAAAACTTGGCACAGTATCTTTTATTGATAGGCAGAAATATGAAATTTTTAGCACCCTGCCAAAAAATAAAACCTGCCGCTAGTCACCAATTAATTATTTTTAATAAAACACCAACGTCAATATACATGTATAATCTGATTGCTCTTATTTATTCTCTATCTTCTTCTATATTTTGAGGGTACACGATCAATGTATATTTGTTTTTCTATTGCCTGTAAATATTAACGGGTGAGTGACGTCATTATTCCTAAGTTATTAAAGGACAATTATTGTTCAGTGTTTCGAATAGATTTTGTAGACGTGTTTGCATTTGCAACTCCGACTCCAACTTTTAATCTAGACAACATCTTTCGAATCCAATCTTGAGATATTAAAACTTTGAGCTGCACATCAAATGATGCGATATATCTTAAACAGGCAGATATCTAATTATTATTATTATTATTTTTTTTTCAAATAAAAGTTCAAATTTACAATTTGAAGGAAAACTATTTCAAATTTAACATTTCAATTTTTAAAAAAATGTATGCAATACAGTGCTGAAGGAGTATGTTGCACAATATTTTATTGAGCTGCCTTTGCCTGTATACCATCTGCTTACAAGAAATATTTGAGCTGGAAACAGTGGTTCTCACAGCAATGTGCTGATGCCCTCACCATGCGTTAATATTTCAACATTACTCTCCTCTCTGTCATGGCTTGACGCATTTACCACAAAATGAGAATCGTATTGATTAAAATTTCAATACATTCTTTCATCTCATATCATCCCCTTTGATATATCCAACGACATGGTAGGGAGAGCAGTTTAGGGGTGGGGGAGAGATTACTGAAACCCAAAATTACTGAACACATTTTAGCAGTATAAAAAAAGAATTTAAAAAAAACGGGCAGTGTTGATTCCTTTAAGGATTGCGCGGGGATAAAAATAAATTTTCCGTTCTGACGTCATTATGACGACAGCTTAACGAACTTGCGGTGTAGTGTGTGGGGGATGGTGGCCATTTAAAACCCCGTACGGGGCACAGATTGTTGGTAGCAGGTTATACGTAGGAAAACAACCTGATTGGAGGCTTTCTTGTGACGTATAGTGTCAATGTGTGGGATGTACTTCTTCTCTGGTTACAGAGCCGTTAGTGATTTGTTTAAGCTCATTGTGAGCAGAAGCTGTAGGTAGCGAAGCACTTTCATGCTATCGGAAATATTAATTTCATCATGTCAGCATCTGAGTTTCTATGTGTAATAAAACTTGACTGTGCCTATTAAACGTGTTTCTGTTTCCGAACTCTAGGCCTATAGTGTGCTGCAGTGAAGCTCTTTATTTTGGTTTTTATAAATGTGTTACCGAGTTTTCATCGCACTAAACTTACACTTAAAAAATAACAATTGAAACAATGTGCCATTTTAGACCAGAGACAAGTGTGGATTTTCTATAAAACTTTAAAGACGTCTTGTCTACCGTTTCAAAATGGCTGATATATTTCCCGTCGATGACGTCGCTGCCATAAGAAGCTATCTCAAACTTGACGACAATGAAAATGTCGTCACTAAAACACGATTTGCAGAACTCTTCGCCGACCTCAGCATGTCGCCCGAGGAGCTTGACGCGATCTTCCAAGCATTAGACACGGACGGAGATGACGCAATCTCCTTGGACGATTTACTGAAACACTACAACCGACCGTGCCCACCTCCAAATAAAGTCTCAGACACTGATCAAGATTCTGATGCTCTCCCGAGTAGAACTAACTGCCATGCATTCAGCTTATCTAACAAACCAAATGGATTATATGAAAACTTGACTTCTCGGGGGGATCATGCTCCTCACGACGGAGACCACCCCAACCAAAGTGCAATGAAGACACTTAGTCCGTTAGACAATAATCCAATAAGGAGGCCAAGGTCGCTTGATGCTCGACGCAGGCATCGCATAACCCCAACCAGAGAATATTCCCATAGTGAAAACGTTTCACCAACCGTAAATTTCGGTGATGAAGACAATGCAGAAAACCTGTCAATCAAATACGACCAATCAACTCTCACTTCTCAGTTATCTTCGCGGATAGCTCGGAATGTTTCACAGGATTTGGTGGCGCCATCGAAAGATTCATTGGCGTTGAATTTTTCAAGCAGGCGTGTGAGAGGCGCACAGAGTTACGAACGATCCAGTTCGAATAGTGATGAAGAACGGCCACCTAATTTTGAAGAAGGTGTTGTTAGAAACCCTAAGAACAAAGAAACGCCCAGTCCGGGCATGCGTAGTAGAAATCAGTTAATGGTTCCGGAATCTGACAGAGCGGAAACTCCTGTTGCAGAAATTAGCATTTTATCTCCGTCTAGGTGTGTATAATATCAAGATGTCAATATAATTACAAGAGCATCTTATTTAGCAATGGGGGCCAACACTTTTTATTTGCTCTATAAAATTTCTTGGCTGTTTCAGATTTAGCGGCCCACGTCGACTTTGTTAGTTAGGCGTTAGGGTTAGGCATAGGGATCGAGGGTTCGGGTTAGGCATAGGGATCGATGTAGGGTTCGGGTTAGGCATAGGGATCGATGTAGGGTTCAGGTTAGGCATAGGGATCGATTTAAGACGTAAAAATGTGCGTTTCGAGGCAACCAGAGGCTAATAGACGTGAGCCGCTCTCTCTGAATTTACCTATTTCTTTTGCTTCTGGTACTACTACAAGTTTCATTCCTATTCTTCTACTGCTTACGAGTTGCTGAAAAATTTCGCCTTTTAACAAATTAATTACTAAATTAGTTACAAGTCATACCACAAAAAAAAAAATAATTGCAAAGAATTCGGAAAAGTTGAAGTAGTAAGTTGTATCTGAATTATAGCTTCTAATATAATGCCAAAAATCAACATTCAAATCTATTAGCACTCTAGAATAAAAGGGTCAATATTTATGATTTATTACATATTTTGTACAAATGATCAGTTAAATTTAACTAATTTAAATAAGATTATAATATAACTATAACCATCTCTCCTCCTCAGCCAAGAACAAGTGTGTGAGTTATATCAGAACTTGCATAGTGTAGACAAACCAGAACTTGTGTCCCAATTTGAAAGTATCCTCCTCAATGTCATAAATGATGTGCGGCAGTACCAGCTGGAAAATGAGAGACTTGAAAAAACCTACAGAAGGTAGGGATTTTTAAAGTGTTAAATAATAAGTTGAATCAAAATTTGTCATTTTTTGCAGTGTTAGTTGTCTATTTATTATTTAAGTTGAATAAGTTTACGATGCAACAATGAACTGTTTTGTTCCTTGTAAGTTGTAAGCACAGCCCAGATGCTTTGATTGATTTTCATTAGTAGGCATGGGCCTGTCACAAAGAGACCTTCAGATTTCAATATTTATAATAACTGCATCATTTCTCTTGAAAATAAACTTAATATTTTTGGCACACAAGTTAATGATAACATGCTGCTCTCAATTGAAATGCTTATTATTAAAGGATTTCAAAAACATTTCATTTATGTTTGTTTTCATCAGAGAAAAAGATGAGCATGACAAGCACTTGCGGAGACTTGAAGAGGAAATGGAACAGCAAGTACAGAGTATTGAAGAAAGGGTTCGTAAACAGGTGAGATTGCCATTGGATTATGTAGCGAACTGCTGAAAATAGATGTTTACAAATTAATAAATGTTTTGTTTATTTCATTATTTTCAAGACCTTACAAGTTCTTATGTTGATGATAAATCTGACATCCTTTAAAATAAACACAATGGAAAAAAAAATAGTTTTACATTTTTATTCAAAGACAACTTTTAGTACAGAAAAATTATTTGTTTTTAAATACTTTTTTTCTTATAACAAATAGTAGGGACATTTTTAGACTTTGAAGTTGTAGCAGTAAAATAATTTTAGATATATGAAGTATTTAACCTTTATTGATGTCATCATTTCAGGAAAAAGAAAGATTGGAATCAGAAAAGATAGAACTCAGAAACCAATTAGATTCAGAAATAATCATGTTACAACTGAATCTAAAAAAATTGCAGCAGGTAAAAAACATATTTTATTTTAGTAGTTTCCAACCTGATTGTCTCATCCATTACTTTGTCTTATGAAGTGAATAAATTTTAAAAAAATCTTACCCAATATACTTTTTTTGTCACTAAAGCAACCTATCTTTTGACTTTTATTTAAGGATAACCCTTTTTATGTTAGTCCTCTTCTGCCAATATTTATTCCAATATTCTTTATATAACAAGAAGTAGCCTGATAGGTGAGAGATAGAGAAGATAAAAATCAACTTAGATGTTTCATCCTTGATGTCCATATGGTGAAAATTGATTTATTGACATTTTTCACTTAAAATGTCACTATAAAAGAACAAAAAAATAATTTATTATTACAAACAATTTTAATTATCTCAGATATTTAAAAAGAAAATCTTAGGGCTTTCATTCTTCAGAACAAAAATTGGAAAGACAAATAAACAAAATCATTAAAAACTTTGTAAATTTTTTTTAAAATTTGAGCTATTTTTTTTAGACCTGGCTGAAGTAAGTAAGCTGTTTTTCATATGGGCTGATGTACAATTTTAGTTACATTTTCCTCTTTATGTTTCTTGTTTATTTAACTTTGCTATGTAAAGGTATATCTCATCATATAACTTCTATTTCAGGATGGTGAGAACAAATTAGACAAAGGTCAGGAAGAGCATTTAATGAACCTGAAAAAAAGACTGGAAGAAATTGCATCTGAAAACCGAATGCTAAAATCAGAATTGACTGATGCACAAACAAATTTAGCATTGATTAGAAGCCAGATGACTGCAGTGAAACAGCAGCTAGATGAGAAAAATTACGAGTTAGAAGTGTAAGTGGAGGCTTTTGTAAGATTTGATAATACACTTTATAAGCAATCGACATAACATCTTGTTAGAATTTCATTGGCACTGTTAACAACACCAACATGTCAATTTTTTTTTCTCATTAATATTTAATATTCTGTTAGCACTAAAAAATGTTGCATTCTACGCTGCATTGATCAGAGTTGATTCACAAGTCTATAAATATATCTGAAGATTGTAGGCCTAGTGTTATCTATTTTAATATTTTACTCAAAAGGCTCTTGTGTTCCCAGAGCTTCAATACAAGGTCCTGTGGCTTTCAGTGGTCCTGTGGCTATCAGTGGTCCTGTGGCTATCAGTTCAAAATCTTAATGGGCTAAATTTAACATCCAAAAATCCCAAGTTTACTTTAACTTAAGTTTAAAAATATTATAGACAAAAGGGAAATGGCTACAGCAAAAATAAAGTGCAAATATTTTATTGCAACTTTTCTATACCAAAAAGTGAGAAATAAAGGAATTGCATATGAGATTTTATTTTGAGTAGGTCTACACATCAGTGATTTGTCACTTTAACCGTCATTGAAATATTCATGGCTTTACGAGTATATTCAAATGTAACACAAAATAGTAATCAGCTGTTTTAATAGGCTATTGAGTTTCAGAGAAATTCATTCTTACCCAGTCATTTATTTTTATTTAGATTTAAATTCAACTTTGCCATAATGATTCTTTGTTTCAGCGGTAGCAAAACTATAGAGGAATATTTAATTGAGACTGTTAAATTAAAGAGACAGCTGCAGCTGCTCCAGTAAGTATAGAGATGAAATCCTCCCCATCCATCTAGCAATGTCTTTCATATCCCACCCCTTTTGTACATTTCAGTGAAAACAAAACCATTGAGGATTATGTAAATGAGCAGGACAAACTCAGACGGCAACTTCAGATGTTACAGTGAGTATAGGTTAATCATGACAGAAGCCTGTCATAAAAAAAATTCAAACAATTTATAAAGGGATATTGTGGGATAAGATTTTTTTAATATAAAATTTAAACTAATGAATAATATTCAATCTTAGAATAAATCATTTACTAAAACTTTTCATCCCATTCCTCAAAGCTTAGGATTTTGGTTACGGTATCAGATAGTAATTTATTTGTGAGCAGAGCCTGTGAGTTCTCAGATTAATATCCCCACATTCTATTATTACCTAAATTAAATGTAAAGGTAATAGAAGAATTTCTGAAATATAGCAAGTTGTCATCACTAAAATAAGACTCAGCCCTAAATTAATGAATTTATTTCTATATTATAGGTAACCATCATTTGCATACTGTTTTTTTAAGTAAGGGTATTGTGTAATGTATTTTGTCTTTCTTGATATTGAAAGGAACAATTAAAGAAAAATTAATTATTGTGAGATATTTTTTTCTTGAAACAAGAAACATGTTATACAGCAGTTTAAATGTCTGCATATTCATTTATTTGTAAGAATTCAAATATAATCTTATCTCTGTTGCCAAAAGAAACCCAATGAATTAGATAGAAGTAATTAATTTTCACTGTAATTTTACAACATTTTAAGCATATATTTAAAGGTGTACAAATTACTTTATGAGTTTTTATGTTTCATTTAGATTTTTCTCTCTGTCTGAAGTGAGAAAAAATTGTTTTATTTTCACAACTAAGTAAACAAATAAATAAGTGTTAAAAGCTGTTTTAACAAGTTGATACATTGCAAATTCCTTTTTTCCTTTCGTGAAAATATGGTGTTAATTTTATTCAACATATTCTACCTTGTCATACCAGTGCTGGCAATGTATGATATTTTCAAATCTATGCCGAAGAGTTTAGACACCCAAGCTTAAATCAGATTTTGGGCCCCCCTTTTAACCTTCTCCTGCAGACTTAAACAAGTATTACTTTTTTCATTTTTTGGTTACTATTTATTTAAGCCCTTGTATATGATATAACTATATAACTCATCACTATATGAATTTGTTTTGCTACTTTTTTCAATAAAAGTCACTGAAATTTTTTTAAACTATGGTTAAAATAAAGTTTTTTTGGCATCTATTTTAAAATAAGTTTTTTTTATTTTTGAATCATTATTTTAAAATATGGGCACAGATGAAGAATTGTCTGTTCAAATCCCCCATCCACCTGCCTTTTTCCTTTTTATTAGTGTTCAGTGGAAGCAGGATGCTTTGAAATGATTATGGTTTTTGCAAATACAGAGCTTGGTCAGAAATAGCTATCACTCAATGGATTCATTTTTTAAAACTTTCAGTGAGGCCAATAAGACACTGCTGGACACCAATGATAATCTGAGAGAGCTTTTAGACTCGGTCCCAAATGGAACTCCCAGTTACAAGAGGGCAGCTTCAACTGATGTAAGTCACTAATGCAATAGAAATGTAATGGGCTGGGTGATATTATTATGCTTTTCAAATTAAATAGTCATTGACCGTAGAAAATATTATTTTTAAAGACTATACAACATTTATTATGTTTTAAACCCCAAAAAACCTATTGATAATTAGGTTTAAAAAAAATGATGATTTTTAATAAGTAACATTCTTTAAATTGGAAAAAAAATCCTGTTTACAATAAATAAGCAAAGTTATCAAAGAGTTAGTTTTAATACAGACTTTTGACAAATACATTTTTAAAGAACATAATTTATCTATTAAATTAAAATGAAAATTTGTATTGCCTATATTTTAAAGTTTATTGTTTGGTCTTATATTTTAAGTATGAAGTTGCTTTTAAAATAAATAAAAAGAATTCCTTTTGATTTAGTAGACAGCAAACTTTGAATGGGTTTGGTTGCCATGTTTCACCTATGCTCTGCAGTGCAATATTTACAAGATTTTGTTACATTTTTTAGACAATTTTTATAATTTCCTTTATTTACACAAATTTGTAGTTTGAACTGGGTGCATTGTACAAAGTAAGTGAATTTTTGGATGGATTTATGGTTTACTCTTTTTTTTCCAAACTAACTGCAATCCTGTTTAACTCATCACTATTAATATTTTGTTCTTAATAGATTCTTTTAAATGAACAAATAGATTAGCTTATGAATTTTAAGCAATTAATCAAAATCATACAACTACAAAAAACTTCAAAATACAATAATATTTTTATTTTGTCAAAGTGTAGCTGTTAAAATCTCAAATAGTTATCTCATGAATTTAAAGATTCACTTTAAACAAAATTAAATATATTGTGTGAGCATATTTTGTTGTAAATTTCTTAGCTGTCATTGAAAAGAAATCATACAATATGCCAATAATAAGAAATAAAGCAAATACATGGTCATATCTTATTGTAATTTTATTTCTACATTTTAATTTAATTTTTTTTTATATTTACACATGATGTTTATTTTTAAACTCCACTTTGTGCTTAGGAAATTTTTCTATCACAGCAGGAAATTTTTTAAAACTGCCTTGGGGAGTAGTAACTATTAAATTTTAAATGTTGTGTTGCAACACACTATTTCATACATATGTTATTTCAGTCAAATATTGTGTTGCGAGATACTATTACATAGAATATGTTGTGTTGCAGCACAGTTATATCACTCAAGCAAAATGTAACATTAGCTTATTATCACAAACCATGATTTTCTTGTCCTTAAGCTCTACAAGTCTTTTTGCATGGGAATGTCTTTGTTACTCATTTATGCAATTTAAGAGAAACAGAAAATTATATTTATTGCCCTTCAATTTATTTCTTTGTAGCACCTGATAAAATAGATATTATTGATTTTATTTAATGCCTATTTTAATCTTATTGACCCAAATAGAATATTTAAGAGCATACCAGTCATACCAATTAAATGTTTATTTTTAATATCAGTGGTTAATGAGACATGAAGTAAAATTAATAGTAATCTCTACTCAATTGTTGTCTAAAGTTATTTTTTTTTTTAAATTCTTCTTTTCACTTTTAAGTGCTTCTTCTGAATATTCGGTGGTGGTGAAATATGACTTTTAATATTTTTCATTTATATACTATTCTTTTAATTAAGTCATTAACTAAGGTAAAAAATGTTTATTAGCATAAAAAGCAATTTAATTTAAATCTTTTTACCACTAAATCACTTATCTAACTTGTTAATATGACATCCTATTTAGACACACTGCAGCTACGTATGAGTGTGCAATACTTAAATTATTTATTTACTGTAAATTTATTTTTCAGTCTGGTGCAAGTGCAAAGAGCAACCGTAGTTTATCTCCAAACTTTCCAAGGAAAGGCTCAGTCATGAGTGATTATGTTGATATGCATCCTGGGTAAGAGATATGCATTTCTCAACTTTTTAAAAAAAAACTAGTAGAACTTTGTTTTTCTGTTAATTTATGAAACAAAGACACTGATGGATCAAATAGATGGATTTGTAATAAAAGATGCTATTCTACTTTTATCATATATCTAGACTACTAGACCTTCCCGTTAACTTATTATTTTATTATATTATTCATAATAAGAATATATTACCAATATATATTCAGTAAAATATTTTAAACAAATTAAATTACAAATGAGCAATTTTGTTTTTATATTATAATAAATATTTTTTTAAATTTGATTTTAAAAATTGTAAATTTGAAAATCATGGTATTTATAACATTTGTAAAAAAAGAAATGTGCAAGGATCTGATTAAATTGTAAGTTTGTTTTAAATTATTAAGGGCATTGTTATTGAAGTTCAATCATTCCTGTTCATTTTGTTGAAGTAATTGTATATATAGTAGTAGGAAAAAAATCATATCTTTTTATAATTTTGATAGGTTATTAGTACAAAAAACATAAAATACTTTTTTAAATTATAAATTATAGTGATACAAAAATAGTTGCATGGATAAGTTTTGTTTTTTACCAATATCATTGTCCTAATCAATATTGCAAATGTCTCTATGGAGAATAATATTATTTTTTTTATAGAAACCGTCCTTTACTGGAATCAGGGATGATGCCAAGATTTCTTAATGAGAGCTGTGAGGATGATAACATGGCTGAGGACCTAGGTGACCATCCTGTTTTACTCTCTCCTGGTATTTCACTCCCTCATTCCATCTTTTTTTTTTAAATTTTGCACTCAGTTAAAACAATTTTTTTGGTAGTCGGGTTATTTGTCCCAAATAGATCCTTGTTTGTAATTTTTCAACATATTGACAACCATTTTATCTCTAGTCAGTACATTTTGAAATGTGTTTTTTTCCCAAATGTTTAAAAATTAATATTGTCTTAATTGATCATTTATTTTTTATTTTTAATCCTAAATCAAATTTATTTAAATCATGTTTATTTAAAACTCACAACTTTTTTTGAGAAAGATTGTACCCCACAGGAATTTTCAATCATAGTTTCTTTTATTTCAATTCCTGTTAAATAATTGTTTTTTGTCACAAGTTTATTAATTGTTTTTTGTCACAAGATAAAAGGACAGCTTTGTAATCATTTTCCAACCATACATTCATACATCTTTACTAAAAATCTCATGAATGATACCTTTTAGCCATAGTGTTAACGTAATTTAGTATTTTGTTTACAGACAGTGGTCATTCAACAATGAGGGACATCAATGACATCAATGATGACACAGAGCTTGATAGTGTCAGTGTCCAAAGTGATATGCGCAGAAGTCGGCGTCACAAGAGACTGCGGACCGGCATGAGAGTCCAGGAAGAGGAGGTGAGTTTGTTGTTTTCAAAGGCAGAATGTGTGTTTCCCAAAAATTTATCTAGGCAGTATGTTAAATTTGTTCTAAAAAGGTAGTTAAATAATTTCTTTGATTGTGTTCCCTGTTATACCATTGTTACCTAGACTTGGCAATATTTAGGACCACTGCAGCTAAGTACACTGTGTGCTTTCATTTTACTAAAAGTATAGTTCACATCGCAATTTTTTAGAAATCTATTGTGAAAAGAGTCTGAAATACAACATTATTAGAGATACATTATTCAATTTTTTTAAAGAACTTCTGGCAGTACATTTTCTGCCAAGGAAATCATTAATCTTTATGCCTGGGAATCTATAAGAAGATGTCATGTGACGTCAAACAATATTTTTTTTAAAGTTTACTTTAAATTTTATCAGGCTTAAAAGTTGTCTAAGAAATTCTTAATTGCAAACTATTTGGGATATTTTAAATGAATGTTTCTTATCCTCCTCACAGCCAGACTCACATGATGAAGAGTCTGAAACAGAGGAAACCAGGTCATCCAATCTAGACACGTTTCGATTGCCTGACCACAAGAGGTCACCGTCTGTGGGCAGCAGGGGCTCCAACCGTAGTCAAAAGTCTCTCAACAGAGATGAATCTATACTCAGTCAGTCTTCCAAGTCAAGTAGAGGCTCCATGAGGAGGCAGCTTCCAGCTGTACCGGCCAAAGATGTAAGTCTAATATTCTTGTTTTCCATATTGCCTGCCTGTCACAAATGAAATTGTTTTAAGAAATTATAAATTAAACAAAACATTTTTTGAAATTTAAATTTATTCTGTGGCTTAAATTTTTTTTAAGTACCTGTAATGCCGACATTAAATGATACATAATTCTAATATTAAACACCAAGTAATCAAATGTTGAAAGCTTTTATCTATAGGAAGATCTTATATGGAATATAAAGCATTTTGATGAAATGAATACCAAACAACTTTTGCTTTTGTTTTACAATAGCTATCAGCAGTGACTAAAGTCTCTAAGGAACCAGAGCGCATGTATAAGATTGTATTGGCTGGTGACGCAGCTGTAGGAAAGTCCAGTTTCATAGTGAGGCTGTGCAAAGGAAAATTTGTTCCAAATTTAAGCTCCACTTTAGGTAAGTTGTTGTTAAATTATGTTTGTTGCCTTTCTTGAGGTTACACATTAACCGTTCCTATTGTATGTAAATAATAAATTTCATTTTGAATGTATTTGGCTTGGTTTGTTTTAAACATGACCCGTCTTGTAACAGGTGTTGACTTCCAAACAAAAATGCTGGATGTGGATGGACAACCAACAGCTTTACAGCTATGGGACACTGCTGGACAAGAAAGGTTAGTACTTACTGATTAGTCACGTTATGATTTAATTCTTAGTTGTAGAATTTTTTTTACAAAAAAAAAAAAACAGAGATTTGTATGTACGTTATTCTGCATGAGTATCATGATGTAGCAGTTGAACACAATTTTTCATTAGAAATACCATTTAATAAAAGTAATACCATTTAATAAAATTGTATTAGTTCACTCACACTAAATTAAAATAAAGCAACCATAGATTTTTATTATGCCAGATTTTATGACACAGCTGGGAAAAGGTTACTAAAAAACTTGCTGTAATTGTAGTTTTTATACTGTCACACTCATTGGTATATTCATCTATTTCTTTTTAGTAAATCTATCTATAAATGATAGTTTAGTTATTCATCTATTTCATTTTAGTAAATCTATCTATAAATGATAGTTTGAATTCTGTGCATAATTCCTATTTATAATTTTTTAGGTTTAGAAGTGTTGCCAGAACATACTTTCGAAGAGCTGATGGTGTCCTCCTCCTTTATGATGTCACGTATGAGAGATCTTTTCTCAACCTTAGAGACTGGGTGGATGCTATTGAGGCAAGTTAAAACTTGAAACTAAAACTAAATGAGAAATGTTGATATCATTTTGTGTCATGTTTTTAGTTGAGATTTCTGCAAAAGAGAAAAGGTGTACTTGTACAGCTACAAACGTAAATTAGATTATGCAGTTTTCATTTGTCCCACAGTCAGACTTTTGCATTATAATTCTTTTGGAGCTACATGAAACAAAATGCAGCTTATTAACTTAAATAAATGAGCAGTAAAAATATTTAACTTACAGCTTTGAAACCTGAATCTACGAAAAAAATAAAAAAATAAACTAGTTTAAAAACGTTTCTATATTTCAACTGATCATATGAACACTTCTTTGTTTTCCTTTGACAGACCAACAGCCAGGTACTAAAAAAAAAAATTATAAATAGAATATCTTAACACACTGTCCTAACTGCTTCAATTATTTTAATCAGGGATGCAAACTTAGAAAAAAAAATGTAGGCTTCTTAACTGGTATAAGCCCCCAACATCAGCGTAATTTGTTTCAGATTTAAACTTTTAGCATTCAGTTTTAATGCCATGAAAATTTCAGTCACAGTGGCTCTGGTTATAATACTAAGGGAAGAATTGAAATAATAATTGCTTCTGCTTTTAAAACCCATAGATAACCCAGCTTTGAATTTTCATTTCATGTTCCAGTTTTGACACTGCAGTATTACTGTTATCACTAATTAAATTGGTGTTGAGCGAAAAATAACTTGTTTAAATATTATTTAAAAAATCTTTTTTTTTCAAAAAGGGGCATATTTTTTTTACTCTAGGGAAAATTTTTGCATATTTATCAATCTAATGTAAAAATATAGTGTTGAAACATTTTTTGGTAGCTGGCATCCTCCTTAGTTCTGCAAAATGTTTCATGGTTACTGACATTTAGGATCACAGCAGAAATTATTATATTTTATGCTACACCTGTAGTGGAAATAAATGGTTTGCATGAAATTCAACTAACACATATGCAGAGGTGTAACCAGCTAATATAATATAGTTTAGTTACTAATTCAAATACTAACCTTGCTAAAATTTACTACTTTATTACTGGGAATTTAAAAAAAATTTCTACCTAAAATCTTTTTAACTGCGTTTCTAAATGAAAAATACATTATAGAAAATAATACTAAATAAGGCATAAAGAAATGTTATGGATTGTAATTGGCCAACGTTATATCCTTTCAAAGCACTGAACATTTTTATTTCATTTAAGGCCTTAATGCAAATTGAATCTGTTTTATTTTTTTAATGTCCATGACCTTAACACCTGGTAAAATAATGCAAAGGCTCCATTTAACTTTTAGTTATCGTTTTTTTTTTTCCAGTTTCTTATTAGGATAATTATGGGACAACAGAATTTTGATCCCTTACTTCCCCTCTTGTTATATGTCATCACAGTTAAGTGACGCAACAAACTCTGAATACCCTGCCCAAAAAAAAACAGTTTTTGAAAATAATCATGTAGCCTTTACTTATTGTGTTTCTATTTTAATATTGGGAAGCAGTGTGATGTGTTGTAATAAGGAGAAAATGTATTCATTGAAAAAGTTAATTTCAGAAATTGAATCATCAAAAAAACATTCATAGACTAATTAAAATTTAAGTTTAAAAAATAATTATTTGAAGTCTTTTGTTTAATACATAACTTACATGTCTTTTGTTTGATACATATCTGACATGTCTTTTGTTTGATAAATAGCTTACATGTCTTTTGTTTGATACATATCTGACATGTCTTTTGTTTGATAAATAGCTTACATGTCTTTTGTTTGATACATAACTGACATGTCTTTTGTTTGATGCATAACTGACATGTTTTTTGTTTGATACATACGGTAACTCAACTTGCAACATCTGTTAGTTCATCATTTAAAAATGTTTAATTTACAGGATGGAGCTCTCAAAAAGGTTCCCATTATGTTGGTTGGGAACAAAACAGATGCAAGGCCTGAACTGGAACATCAGGGTAGACGAGTTGTCAAATATGATGATGGTGTTCGGCTAAGTCGAGTAAGTAACATTTAAATCTGAGTGCTAGTGTTTCATTTGTCTATAAATATTTTGTTGTACTTTTTTTATTTTAATATCTGCTACTGATACATAATGAACTGTTCGTATTGTAAGTTTTAAATTTGAGCATTTCTCTTAAAAATATTAGTCATTAGTGCTCAACAGGGAACAATGCAATTTTTTTTTTAAAAGATTATTTTGTGTAAAGTGCACCAAATCACTCATTTATCAAAAACTACAATATAACCAACAGAAACATTGAATGAGGTTTGAATGTCCACTTCTTTTTTCTTCAGGAGATTAATTCCTTGTTTATAGAAACCAGTGCTAAAGATGGGGCCAATATTACAGAAGCTGTTATTGAATTAACCAGGTATTATTATTTTATCAAAGTTTTTTTAGTCGTACCAATACTTTTAATAACCTAACTATATGAAAGTAAATTTATCCAATAGCTCAATGCCTACAGGCATAATCCTTTTATTACTTAAATGTTAAAGAGTGGCATAATTTAAGCCTTTGCATTTTCTAGTGTAACAGTAACATTTTTGCAATACTTTTATTTTGTTTGGACTTTCATCTATCACCTTTTGAGTAAGGGTCACACTAAATCATTAAATGCAGATAATTTGAAATACCGGTAGTATAAATTCTAATTAACATTTCATTTTAAAAGGGCTTCAGATTATTCTTAGATTTATGAAATCTTTAATGAACAGTCATGGGGGGGAAAAAAACACAAATATTTCATGAGTTCAATCCTCTGTGTTGAAACCACAAATTTCCAAGTTCTAAATATTTCCATTTTTTACACAGACTTCTACGCACCAATGAAGACATGGAAGTAAAAACAGTTGGCATGCAGTTGCATGATATGAAGGACAAGAAATCTGGCTCATGCTGTAAAAGATCTTAAAATACACAATTAATATAGTTCTTTTGAGAAATCCATTTCAGAAACTTTATTTTAAAAAAAATACTTTATATCTTTGCTATATCTAAAGAATGAATTGCAATTTAATAAATTGTAAACACGTTTTTAAAAACTATACATTTTTATATTTTAAGGATGTTATTATTCGTTTATAAAAAATATTTTTATATTGTTTGATGAAATAACTTTCATTGTCAATGCTGGCAATGAAACATGTTTTTTAAAAATTTAGAAAGAGGTGAACACAAATTCATTTAAATTTGATGATAAGATTTGACACCGGGCTGACAAAAAAAGCAGCATTCAATACATTTCAGTGCATTGCATGCAAATGAATGTCACTACAACCTAATTTTCAAAGTGTAACTAAATAATTTGACCACATGGCTTCCGTCATTGCAGAATTGTGTATTTATCTTGTTTAAAAAGAAACAACATAAATATAATTGTACAAGTGTATTATTTTTATGACTGGTGATGGATAGATTCTCATTCTACTAGTCTTTGTACTAATTGCAGCAAAGAATTTACTTTATCATGTCTCACTTTTCACATGTCAGGTGTGTTTTAATGGGCTGGTTCAATAATTATGTATTGATATTTTGTAAATTCAACACCATTGAGAAATGCTCATGAGAAGAAAGAAAAAAAAAATGCTATAGTGATAATTTTTGCCCTAAAAAAAAAAGAGATAAGAATATTAAATTAGGGAGTGGTGTTGTAAATATGCAGATATGTAAATACCTTTTTGAGTATTATGGAAAATAAACCAAACACAAGAAATTAATAATGTTAATATTTATTTTTATTTAATGAATTACAAATACTGTTCATGTCATTCAGATATATATATATATATCTCCGAACCTATTTATTATAATAAACCCAAAAACATGGCTAAACTATTAAAGCAATATGGATAATAATTTTATTAGTTTAAAAAAATTTTAATTGAATAATTATTATTTTATTGTTATTTTTATCCTCACATTCCTCAATTTTAATATACCTCTCATATTACCAGCAGCCTTTGTAAAAAAAAATTATTATTTCTGATAGTTCTTCCCATATAAACATGTATCATAATCCATTATTGACAAATAATATGTTCCGCTAAAATTCCGCGTAAAATATAGTGTTTATATTGAGTTTTAGAAAAAAAAATTATTTGTATTGTTATTGTGGCATTGTTATAATTATTTACGGAAACAATGTAACGAAAGGTGTTTTATTTGTCACAAAAGAGATCTGAAAATAAGATAATGATTTCAAACACCGCCATTGGTAAAAATGGTGGGAAGTATTAAAGTGCCTTACGAGTCAATTGAATGCTGGTTGTTCAATCAACTATTCAGCTAAGTGATATTACAAACTAGACTAGTCAAGCAATCAAAATTTACTACACTGTTTTGACTGGCAAGCTAGAGGTGTCAGAAACGTTTAGCAGCTTTCTATTATCAGTTATGTGTGAGAAGATATTTCCTCAATGATGAGTGTCTTCATTCATCTTTTTTGCCTGTGTTCAGTGGGTGGAGATGTCCCATGGTACCCTTAAGATAACAAGTCAAAATACCTTTTTTTTCTCTTCTCACGTAAACTTCATGTTCTTTTGAGATTTGTTATTAGATGAAGAATCTACCAGTCAGTGTGATACGTTAACTGTACTAGTTGAAAATAATAACTATGACACCAGGTGGCATAGCTTGACATATTTACTACTAGCATCTCCTGTCAATGTGATTCAGTTTTTAAAGTGGCTTGGTACAATTTCTTTTATTAACACGCCACTTTTATTAACGCTGTTTATATTACCGATACTCAATATTTTAAAATTGATTCTTATTATTCAAATGATGGAGACATATAGTGTAACATGGCAGGAATTTTATTTTCTAACATTATCCTTTAGGTATCAGTCAGGTCTTCATCAGATGACCACACAATTTCTTTTAGTTTTAAGTGGTCTAGAATTTTTAGTACCGTAACAATCTTATTCTTTCTTTTTGAATTTTTCTTGAAAAGGAAAAGGTGCTTCCAATTCAATAAAATGTTTAAATTCATTATAATTTATTACAAGCAATACAGCATTAATAAATATCATATCCTTGAACTTGAATTAACTCAAGTAATATTTTGTATAGACCAAATATGGAAAAGCAGTGTACATATTTGGAAACTATAGACCTGTAACAAATGTTTTATATTATATTGAATATCTAATTTCTACAAAGATGTTGATGTGCCTTTTAAGAAAATGTTCTAAGTTCCTTTACATATCATATTGTCCTAATTTTACATTTTTCTGGTGATATTTATTGTCATAAAACGTTTCATTTTTCAAAAAGTTTCATTTACCAAAAGCAGTTATACTAGTCATTCATTAGAATCTCAGCACATGTTTAGTCAATATTTATTACTGCATTTTAGTTTCTACATTGTCATGCGCTACTCAAGTAGAAATATTTTACCAATGATATATTTATTTGATTTATTTAATTTCATTGTCTAGTACATTTTATTTTTCATCTTCTCATATACCAAAGTTCTGAATATTTATTTTAAGAAATTTACTTTTAAGTTATATTTGACTTATTTTATTTCTTTAACCAACAGGGTTGATGTCTATTTAAATATTTAAAAATATTTTCAGATCAGTGGTACCATCGATATTTATGTAACTTTACGATTGCCTTAATGCCTTTATACATAAATTGATTCTAGGGGTAGGGTGCCCATGACAACTTAAGGCCTAGGAACGCTGGGCCTCTCGCTTTATGATCATTACGCACATATTTTTAATGAAATTGTTAATTTAATTTGCCTTAAACGTGCAGTTGTAAGAATGTTTTCAAAGTTTTGGGAAATCGATTTCTATTTTAAAGTCAATCCTATTTTTTGTTGCTAGTTTTATTAAAACAACCACCCTACCCCCAGGGGGAACAAAATTGGCTGAAAGAATTACTCATGGGCCATCCTGGGACCCAAATGCTTTCCTAACAGTTCATTACTTTGCCAAGGAGCCCCCTTTGCTGTGTAAAGAAGCCCCTGTGACAGTTCATTTTCAAGATGAAGTTTTCAAAGATTCAGCTTCACTAAATAATCTGCAACAAATAAATAACCCATGAGTTTGTTTATTTATATAGAAATAAATATTATATTCTTCAATAACAACACTTTAAGTTCATCTGTACGAGGTAATTAGCACATAGTTTATTTTTATTTTTTTTTTAAATTGAACTAGTATTGATTTTGATTTAGTATTTATTTATTATCAATACATGTGTTTTATTTGATTTAGACCTTTATTTTTATTCAAAATGTTCAGGGCAAAAATGGGGCCCCAGTGCATTCCTTTGCCCAGGGCCTCTAATATTGTTAAGATGGCAGGAGTCTTTAGGAAATATCCAACAAAAAAGTGCCAACATTGTTGTAATATGGTTCCAGGGGTTTGGGAAGAATGGGGTCTTTATTATTTTTTCTAGCACTTGTCCTATTTGGAATCCTTGAGCTTAGATTAAAAAAAGAAAATGTTCCAACTCTTGTCCTTTAAGCTAATGTTCTTCTGAAAAGAAGAGCAACATTTGTTAAAATTAGTATTCTTGAGAATTTGGAAATAAATCACAAAATTGAAATGTATGCTTAAACAACCATTTTATGCAACATTCGACATTGTGTAAAATAATTGCATGTTTAGTTTCATTAAACACCTTGATGTGTCTTTTAAAATAAAACTGCTAATTTTTTAATCATTAAAAAAGAAAATAGAAATTGAATATATTTTGAAAACATATGTCATGTCTGTGTTGCAGCTGATATTATAAGAAAGAACCTGACTGGTTTATATGTAATGTATTTTGTCAATGAAACCAGATGGACAAATAACACAATGGGTTTTTTTTCTCTTAAAACAAGTCAATTAAATGTTTGTTTTACTTTTTAACAAAGGTTAATTTCATTATGTTTTAGATGCAAAAAAATATAATAATTATTTTAAGAATGGTTGTGGCTACAATTTATGTCATACTGGTATTCTCATTACGTTTTCAGTTGAAACACCATTAGCTGGACGCTAATGTGTATTTTTTTAATATGCTGGACATGTTAAAAGTATTTTTATACATGACATAATCTGTTTTGCTTACATTTTGATTTTATGTACGCATATGCTAATTAAGGTTTTAAACGCTACTATGACTAATGGTATCATAACGAAAACTGATTTTTTACACAATTAAAGTTGATTAATTGTGCCTAATTTATGATACAGAATAAATGAATGTTTTGGCATCTGTAAAAGCTGCATTGGTTTCATTTATTTCATCTTTGCTGCTTGACATAGGATTATATGTAAATAAAGAGCATTACTAATTCACTCTCACACCTAAGTTTTGTTCACTTCAGCTCCAAGTTTGAAAAAAAAAAAAAAATTAAATTTTTGCAGTGCCCCGGGAATGTCAAATTTGAAGAGGATGTTTTGGATACTTACACTGATTTCTTTGCAGTCTGCAGCTAAAAAAATATATAGGCCTACATATCAATGTCAACTCGTTCTTTATCCTCTCACAGAATTTAATGGTGACCAATCAGCAGAGGCAAAAGTTCAGTATGTCGCCTCACATATTGAATGACTTGGGCTCTAAATAAGAAAACATGTTCCCAGATGTTTGTAACAATAATTTGTCAGTCAACTTGTTATCCCGATAGGTCAGTCAAGTTGTTTTGTATTAATTAATTTTTTTTTTTAACTTTGAAACTCAACATTCAAATTCAATTAATTGTCAGCAAGCAAAGGCTTTGTGAATGCTGATCAAAAGAGAGAGCTGCAGGAGATTGTAAAATTCAATTCTTTTAAAGAAAAGATCGTCTGTTCTTTGAGAAGGTGAATACAAATTAGGTCTGAACCCTCACACGAAAACCTTCCTTTCAACACTAGTACATATCCTAAAGATTTGCAGTCATTAAATTTAAAGTAGCTTTCCAGTATCGTTAAAAATTAGACTTTGCTCTGTTATAGGCTAAAATAACATTATTATAAATATTATTATTAATTTAATGTGTCATTTTTTATTTTTGTTTTTGCTCTTCCGTACTACTGGGATCATAAGTGAAATGAACTTATCATCCCCCTGGATATCAAATCGATGAAATACTTTCTAATAATATTATCATTTGTTAAAGGCACTTTGCTGAATAAAATTTAAAAACTAAATACTAAATGTCTTCTTTTGTCTGATTGATATGAATTGTAGAACAGGATTTGTGAAAGCTTTAAAGGAGAGAAAAAACCAGGACAGTAAAGTTAATGTTTCAGCTGGAAGCCTTCATCAGCAGACAATAGAAAAACTGAAAGAGAGTGAGAAAAAAATGGATCTTAGCTTGCCAGTGGTGGGAATAAAAAAATCATGTGATATCATTGTTTTGTTTAATTAGGCTTTAAACATGAAAAGTGGGCCTTTATTTTCTATATACAGTTAGTGCAACTGGATTTTATTGCAAGATATTAGACCATGTTGTCATCTTCCTATATTTGTTTATTGTTTGTCATGCAAACATGCGAAGATGACCAAGGCTTTGACTTGACTAAGTGGACTTGACTTGAGCTGTATTTTGTTTAAAGTGAGGGAGAGTTGCTCAATTTGTCAGCCTCTCTCTTCCTTACCTATTTATTACAAGACTTAGTTAAGACGACTGGAAATAGACTAGGATGTAGTGGATGACCAGCAGTGTGTCTTGTGTTTTTTCCCATTAGAAAGATGAAAGAAATATATTAAAATAATTAAATAATTGATCTACCTAATTTTGAAACTGAACCCGTTGACCAAGTCTTTTTAAGCTCAGCATCATTCCAAACCCAAAATATGTTAACATTAACAAGTTCATAGAAGTTTGGAGAAAGGTTTTTGATGTAAAAATTAAAGAAAAATAAACCAAGATTTTCACCAAAATTACCCAGAACATTAAAGTTCACCATGCTATTATTTTTTCTCAGTGATTTGTATCCACTACCATCAACATAGTTGTCACTGACTCTTCCACCCACATTTATTAACTTAATGCAATGCAACTGGGAAGTAGCGATTTGTAGAAGCTGAGAATTGGCTTACAATTGCTGTACATTTAAAAAATATTTAGTCTTGTTTAAATAAATGTACACCACAGTCATACCAGTAAGAGAGAGCCAAACACTAATTGTTCTATGTTTTTTTCACAATTCTCTTTATTTAAAAGCATGGTACACACTTTATTGCTAAGGACAGACTGAAATAGACTTACTAAAAACAAAATAAGTCCTGTAGGTTGGAGAAGGGAAATAAAATTAGATAAGTTTAGTTTAAATACAGTTCAGATTTTAAAAAATAAAAAAATAATAGAAATAAATTTGAACCAACAAATCTACAGTTGGCTTTCTCTTCACCTCCTTTATTTTGATTGATTAATTATTGCAAATAATATTGAACATCAACTAAAATGGGTCACATGCCTACCAAATATCTCATTTAACAAAGCAGGGTATGCCTAATTCTCAGTTCCCATGATCAAATTTTGGTCAAATTTGTGATTTCTTTTTGAACTCTCTATTTGTTTGACTAAACCTATACTTTTTTTTTAGAAATCAAGAAATTTAGAGAGTACACTCCCAACTTCCTGTGACTAAACAGAAAAAGATATTAGCTACTAAATAATAATACATTTAGTCTTTAATGATGCATTCAAGGTAACATTGGGACAATTTTGTTATGCTAATTTATAGTAAGGAATCAATAGTTTTACGGGTAGTCAAATAAATAGGAAACCAGGAAATAAGACAGTCCTTTCTTTACTATTTGAGTAATACTTATTATAAATTAAAGTTGAAATAAATTTCTTGATTAATTAAGTCTTGCAATACATTATTTAAGTTATTAAAACAAAGTTACATGGAAAGTTCTGTTGAATATAAAAAAAATAATGTTTCATTAAGTCTTGAATTTCCTAGATGTTTAAGACTTGAAAAAATTATTTAATCTGGTGAGGGTTTAAACATGACAAGATATAAAGGTAACAGTGTGCTGGCAAGATGTAAGAGGGTCGCATATCACAATGGCTTCATTGTTCTACACATGATAGGATAATAAATCTACTTCCCGCAACAACAATGGCGTTCACGTAGGTTTTTAACTGTGCTCTGTTTCTTGTTGTATTTTCATTTGTCCTGTTTGCTGAGGAAGGCCCATAGCCGAAACGTTCACATCTAATTGTCCTGTTTTTTGCTTCAAACTTCCACAAAACCTTGTTCTAGTATTTCATTGTACTACATGCTCTTACTAGAATACGGTGTAGATATGTAGGATTTTTTAAGAATTATAATTCATTTCCATCACACATTCTATCAAATCATGGTAAATGAAGACTAGCATTCCTATCTTCACAATGGAAATTTATTTACAAGATTTCATTTTAATATATTTTATCCATTTAGCATGTTGATAAATTTTTAACAATATTTTTTAAAAAGCAGTTTTTATCTTTTGTAACCTGAGTTAAATTAAATCACATTTTGTAAGCATTCTTTTGTAAGCATTCATCTACCACTTTCAAAGGGTTTATTTAAAAAAAAAAAAGAAATCTTAAACAAATTAATGTATTATTTTCTTAATAAATATTTATATCCTATACCAAGGGCAGGCAAACTTTTCTTGCTGCGAGCCAGATTCAAGAGGACGTAACTCCACAACAAGAAGAAAATGTATATCCCCCAGAAAATTGGGATTTCACCAGTAAAGTGAAACAACCCCATAAGGTTGCAACATCTGCAATCAAAAATTTAAATTACACATTCATTTTTTTCTCCATTTTATAGTCATTTTAATTATTATAATATTTTAATGGCTTCATGAGCCATTTAAAAAGGAGGCGCAAGCCACATTTAGTTCGCAAGCCATTGTTTGCCCATCCCTGTGCTATACAGTTATGAGTTGAGTATAAATAACTCAAGTTTACAAATCTTATTGTATGAATATTTTTACAATAAGAAAAAAAAAAGAATACAATTTGTGGTGAAACAAATTTTCTTTCAAAATAAAATATTCCAACTTGGAACCGTTGACTTTTGACTTTGACAAATGCAAACAGTGCTAATTAAAACCTTCATATTTTGATTGAAATTGACTAGTACAATTAGAAATAATTGACCTTTTCAAAACAAAAAAAAATGAAATACAGTATGAAGGATACTACATTTACTTCTTATGTGATTTAAAAAAAAAAATAATTTCTTTTAAGATTTTTAAAATAACTTATAAACAGCACATCTACTACATATGAAAACAATAAATATAAAACCTACAAACATGTGTGGATGTACAAGCACAGAACTGTTGAATGGATAGAGGCACATCACCACATCAAACATAGACAACATCAGACTCCTTGCTGCTTTGCATTAATACAGGTTGATTTATATATAGATCATAGATATATATAGATCATACCTCTCAGAGGGAAAAAAACTGTATAAATATCAGGAGGTCATAGATTTAGCACTGTGTTAAATATTTAACGTTTAATTAACATAGAAAGTAAATATTAGCTGGCTCCATGGACCTCTGATGAGGTGTTTCATAGACAGAGACTGAATCTATAGATATATGAAAACAATAATGTACACAGTACAAGTTATTACAACAATTAATAATTTTTTTATCCTTTTTATATGCCATACTAGTATTAAAAAAAAAGTGTATGATTAGTTCTGAGAACTCGATTAACATGTCCATATTTGATCCTGGTCCAGAAACTAGATTTAATCAAGGGTTGGCTAAAGTTGCTAGCCCTGGTCATGCAGTATTATATCAAAACATTGATTATAAAGAAAGTGGGCCAGTCAACAGATTGTCATCATTGATTCAATAAATATATATATATATATATATATATATATATAAAAATATCTGAACAGTTGCACATGTAAAATTTCTCAGTTAACTCAAACTCTCAAGTTTTGTCAAAGCATGTAGGTGATCAGATTGGGTGACAAATAAGAGCTTAACAGAATAACCAAAGAAATGGAAAAGTGATTTTTAGCCTTGGTGTTTTTAAGGTTTGACAACATACAGCATTCATCAGATAGCAATACCATTGACAGGAATAAGTGAAAACCCCAACTGACAAATGTCATGGCTTTGCTGTCATTGAGTTTTGGTTACACAGCAAAGAACCATGCACTACTTTCACACTTAATTTACTGCACAAATCTGTATAATAAAAAGTAAGGCATCCCATGTACTCTTCATGATTAGCTCTTTTAGACACTCATTTCTCTACAAGGTAAATACAATCTTAAAAATATAGAGGTTTAATTTTTAATTTTTCTATTCATCTTCAGCTCATTATTAAGAGAGATAATACTGATACTGTTACATGTAAGTAAGGCAAATCGTTAGCAAAGTGTCAGGGTGTATAAGACAGCAGAAAGGAGATTTGTACTATACAAGTGATTTCTTATCACAATACTAAAGATTGAACCCATCTTCTGTAATCCTGGTTATCACAACTGTCATACTCCGTGAGATAAAACTCTTCTTAGTCATACAAATGTTTGTAATAATCACATAAATGTGGCCAATTACAGTGCCGTATTTCAATATCATGTCAAACATAAATTTAAGGAGATGACACAGTATGGTCTCATAATACAATCTCACACATTACACCATCTGCATGTTGTTGTTGTAGTACGTTAAGTGCAGGAGGTGGACCATATTAATTTAATAGATGGACCTGGCAGTAAGTTACAGCCTAGGCAATAAATATAATTTTCTGAAAATCCATTATTATTGAGGATATGCCTTCCTCATTTTAACAAAAATGTCAGTTAAAGGGCACTTCGTCAATTCAAGGTTTTAATTTGGATGTTGGAAATAGATTCGAAAAAAAAGATGGTGTATTGTGATATTAGTGATATTACTAGTTTCAGACGCACACCATAAATAATGTTTGGTTTCAATGCTCAAAACCATGGCCACTAATGTGCCCACAACCAAATAATAAAAAACCGGACAGGTTTAAGGGTTCTATTAGCATAGCATTACCTTATTGGGTGAATGACAAGTCATATAGAAAGCACTGACAGGTTTAAGGGTTCTATTAGCATAGCATACCTTGTTGGCTGAATGACAAGTCATATAGAAAGCACTGACAGGTTTAAGGGTTCTATTAGCATAGCATTAGCTTGTTGGCTGAATGACAAGTCATATAGAAAGCACTGACAGGTTTAAGGGTTCTATTAGCATAGCATTAGCTTGTTGGCTGAATGACAAGTCATATAGAAAGCACTGACAGGTTTAAGGGTTTTATTAGCATAGCATTATCTTGTTGGCTGAATGACAAGTCATATAAAAAGCACCGAGGACGCATTACACGTCAATCAATTTCTGTGCGGCAGTAAGTGAGGACAACTGCTAACCACTTCAAACAAATAAGACGCATACAAAAATTCCTTGAAATGAACGTCTGCTTTGCACAAAATCCAATCACAAACAATGAATGAATGATTGCTCTCTGAATGTAAATCAACTATAAGTTAATGCAAATGTCAAAAATAATTGATAAATTAGCTCATGCTGTACAGCTTCCACAAACTGTAATAAAAATATTCAATTCTGAGGATGACATCACTGCCACAATTTTCCATGTTCTTTTGTGTTCAAGATCTTTGAATGTAATCTATAGTCACACCCTTTTTTAAGATTTTATTTTTGATTTTTTTTCTTCAAACATCTGATCTCAACAGGTTCAATTAATCATTTACAGTGTTTCCCAAACTTTTCTACATTCTAGCAGCCCCTACAAATTATTTGGCTAGTCTAGCAGCCCTTACAAATTGTTATGCATAGTTATAAATCTAATAATGAATTTTCAAAATTTGAAAACGGACTTCTAAATTTTTCATTGAATGGGACTGCAGAACTTAAAAAATAAAATTGTCACTTATAACAAAAAGTAAACATTTTATAAAGAAAGGTTTTAAAATATATATACATTTGTCATATTTTAAAACATTTTGTCACCTCTGTTCTGTATCCTGAATATTGATTGCATGCTTGATAAAAAACATTATTTGATTTATATCACATTGCAGTGTTATATTATGAAGAGATACCATTCATGATTGGATTTTGATATTTGAAATCTAGATATTCATGAAAACACATCAATTTCACTTAAACACTCTCAATAATTTTAAATATTTCAATAATTAGTCTTAATATACCAATGATGAAAACATTCAACGTTGCTCTGTTGGGAAAGTGGTTTACTTTTGATTATCTAGCATGCTTGCAGACATTTTCTTCAACTGAATCCAATTATTTGATGAACAAGTGATGAATAGGCAAGATATTCCCTGTTTGCTGCCAAGCTAGGACAGACAACAGATAGATCTCTGCATATACCAACAAGGGTTGTATAAATAGACAGCAGGCTATAGACACTGACTGTAATAAAGGTGATTTGCCTGACTAATTTTGATTTTAAAATCATGGAATGTATTATAATATTGTCTTTTTTTTTTCTTTGGCTCAATATTTCATCAAAAGCAGAATTCAATTTTAAATTTTGGAAACTTTTTTTTCCAAGCAATTAAAAAAAAATGTGACAATAACATCTATTTCTCCTTAATGGAAAATAATTAGAAAATTCATGGGAAATATTTATTAAAAAATGTGTCAGTGCATTTACTTTAAAAAAAAACTTTAAAAATAAAACTTGATTTTAACATCAGGTTTTTATGATCTAGGGGCTATCCCAAATGGTTAAAGATTAAAAAATAATGAAGATTTAAGCTGTAACATGGTCAGCTAAAGTCTAAACCCAGCACTGTGAATCAGACAAATTGTTTTTAATATAGGGTGAACCTGTAGGAAAAGGATAAGAATCATAAGCTTTCCCTCCCTTTGCTAAAAATGATGTTTCCTAACTGGGCTTTTAAACTTTATAATTTTTTAGATGCCCCAAAATGAATAGAATATTTACTGAAACTGAAAGGAGAACATTTTAGGCTATAAGCTCATACTGACATCTAAGGTAAGCGTAGATCTTCTGTGAAAGTTTCATTTGTAATCCCCTTAACCGCCCTTATCAATCTCTACAACAAAGAAAGCCAGTGGAATGGGTCATCATGACATGAACATATTTGGTTTAAAAGCCACCTGCCTGTGGATGAGAGACAGTACAAAGTTATGCAAAGAAATTAATCTCAAGAAAAATATTCAGGATATGAATCTGAAAAAGATTCAGGATATGAATCTGAAAAAGATTCAGGATATGAATCTGAAAAAGATTCAGGATATGAATCTGAAAAAGATTCAGGATATGAATCTGAACATTTTGATGAACATTGGAAACAATGACTTCATTTAACCCTCATTTCAGGTTAGCGTATATTAACTTAAATGGAGCAGAGTACGAGTGAAACAAAACAAAAAAAATAGTAAAATGAAAAGCGCTTTTATCAGCTCATCCAATCCTGGCCACATAAACATATATGACATGCAACACTTGTCAAATCCTGGCCACATAAACATATATGACATGCAATACTCTTTGATGGTTGTTGAATCACATCTAAATATTTGTGCAAGAAAAGCTTTATGTACAGACAAAGAGTATGTGTAGATGGACTGGAGTGAGTACAAGTTGACCTCCGCTGGGTCAATATAACATGATATTCATACAGTTTTAATAAACTTAGATTTTTATAGACATATAATCTTAGCTTATATAAAAATCCTTTGAGAGGAGACAGGCGAACCTTTGCAATTGGACAGTTTCAATACGCATATCAATTAAAGAATAAATCTAAATACAAGTGCAAGATGTGTGGAAATAAAACATCCTATACAGGAAAGAATAAAACATAACAAACAGGCTCTGATATCTTAGCTTCCCTAGCAGAGTGTAAAATATATCAAGCATTTTCAGAAATCTCAGCTCCATTAACAAGGAAATGGGTGAAACAAGTTTATGGTAAACCTCAAAACAAAAAAAAATGACGCAAACAAAATGAAAGTGTCGACAAGCAGCCTTCTTCAGCAAACAATACCAAAGTGTCGACAAGCAGCCTTCTTCAGCAAACAAGGAAAGACCAACACAAATGAAAATGTAAAACTTTTGAAACGTTACCGAGATGTTGTAAGGGAGGCAAGAAGAAGCCGATTTTTTTTTTTTTTTTAGGACTATTCCCCATGGTATAAAATGTCCATCAAATTTAAAACATTTTATTTTATTTTTTTTATTTGCATGACACCAAAGAAAATAATTTGAAATAGTAGATTCATCAAATTTATCAATTCAATTATTACATTTATGCTATCCTACACTTATTGCAACTTAACGCAACTCTTTTTCCATCATATCAGTATGAGAAGTCACTCTGAACACAAGTTTAGTTAGAAATTTGCACAGTTTTGAACAAAATGAGACGATTTTATATGAAACTGAACCAACAAGTATTTGTTTCATAAGAAAAGGTTAAAAATATTTTAAAGGGGTCAAAATGAAAGGAGATAAATAAATTTTAAAAAAAAACATTCATAAGAAACATGGTGGGACTCTGGTTTCTCACCTCCTTATTTAATCATAAAGACTTAAGAACACATTTTAAAGAACTTGCTTTTTCGTTAAGCTTAAGCAGGCTTTAGCTGATAAAATGTTAAGATTTTGATCAATAAATGCACAACTAAAAGAGTTGAAATAAATAAACATCAAATGTGAGTAAATGAACGGTCTCAGGAAAAAAGGGGAGGGGGGATGATGACCAAGAAATAGATTGATATTTGTTTTAGTTAAGGATTTGATCCAATATATATCTTAATGAAATGACCGACCAGAGTTATATTCTACAGTCAAATCAAATCTCATCGTGTTTAGTGTTTCACAAACAATATTTGAAGAATCCACAAATGGGTTCTACAAAATATGAAAATATGACATGTGTGGTCCAAAAAAAATATGAAGATACACCATGGGTGTTCATGGAATTAAAGTTTTGATATTTTTTTTTTTTTAACCTGGCAATCATTAAAAAAAAAAAAAAACTGCAAATGTTGTTACCTTTATATGGAAAAAAATTAAAAAAAAAAAAATTTAAAACTTTGAAATTTTTTATCCTTAAACAAAAAAAAAATTTTGAAATTTTTTTTTTTTTAACCTGACAAAAAATAAAAAAAAAAAAAAAACTGCAAATGTTGTTACCTGTATATGGAGAAAAATTAACAAGGGTCAAATTTAAAACTGTGAAATTCTTCATCCCTAAACAAAAATGTTCTTGTTCAGCAGTTTCACGGAGAAAAAGGGTCCACTAATGATCTAACAGCATCTTTAACACTGCAAAGTGCATTCCAGGTCTAAATGTTAAATAATAAGAAATAGACTAAAAAAAAAAAAAATCAGTGGTTGACCTATTGTTTCATTGTGGATCAATCAATCCCCAAACAGATGGCAGCTGAGAAAATGGCAAAAAAAGTTTTAAATTTCAATGCAGCTGAAAAATTAATGTTCAATTCTATAACCTCAGAAGTTAATCCAAGATGAAGCAAGACCAAAAGTTGAAAGGCAGTCCAAAATAAAATGCTATATACACTGTTAGAATGTTCATTTACTATTTCAGAAAAAAAATTGAAGAAAAACTCCCATTTCAGATTTTATATTGTAAAATTAACACCTGTAGACATTGCAATGATTAAATTAAAATTTTAAAATATAAATTAAATTATATATAATGGTATATTTATTCTAGTAATAGCATTTTGATGATGGCCGGCTAAGGAAAAACACAAAATAAAGAGATCCGCATCTATTAAATGTATAGATTTTTTTCTTCTAGAGTAAACATATCAAAAAATTATGCAGCCGATTCTTATAATACTTTTAAAACTTGGACACACCTCGTTTTCATATAAAAATCTCACCATTTGATCAATCTCTGAGGCCAAACAATATCAAATATTCAAAAAGATCATTCTGGATGTCAACACTATAAAGCTCTCACACACACTTCAACCAAACACACCCGAATTGCCAGAGACCTCTTGGGATAGTTCCCTCCACTTTGCAACACAATAAAAATATCTTCTCCAGGAATCCCCATGTTTAGGCTATCATTCGGGTGGTCTTCAGTCTGTCCTCCTGGCCAGCCGACGTATCAATGTCCTGGGAGCTGACTGATCACGCAAAGAGTTGTTGTCACCACCAGAATCTCCTTCCTCTTTCAGCTTAGCTGGTATATCATGTTTCACATCCTGTGCAGGGAGAAACATTCATTACTTTGTGTTCAAGTAGGCCATAGTTGGATTCCAGAAATTTGTGTAGTGTGAGATGCCATGATGCAATTAGTGAGATGGTAATAAAATATCTTTCAAATTCAAGGGTTCTTAACCTTTTTCTGTTTTTTTTTTTGGTGCAGCGTTTTCAAAAGGGAGGCTGGTGCAGCTTACCTTCCAAAAAACATAATTTTTTGAAATGCTTGAAATAAAATATTGAGCTCCTCTGTGATTTCTTTTCAGTTTAACATGACAAGTACTGCTGGCACTAGTGGCAAGCTGCCAACATTTACAACAGGGAAATGATTGCTCCCAGTAGCACGCAAAGCCAGGTCTAGCTTTACCCAATGTCTGCATGCTGAGACTTCCATCATTACACATGATTACGGCGTGCCGCACTCAAACTGTAGGGTGTGCCCCACTCAAACTGTAGGGTTTGCCCCACTCAAACTGTATGGTGTGCCCCACTCAAACTGTAGGGTGTGCCCCACTCAAACTGTAGGGTGTGCCCCACTCAAACTGTAGGGTGTGCCCCACTCAAACTGTAGGGTGTGCCCCACTCAAACTGTAGGGCGTGCCCCACTCAATCTGTAGGTTGGTCGTGATGAAATGGTCCACTATTTTAAATAATTTTTTTCTTTTATCCATCAATCTGATGCATTGTAAGGAGCTAAGTTCTACCCAATTGGTTTGTGTGCTCAGGTAAATTCATATATTTTATGTGCACAGCTTTAAAAGTGACAGTTTGGTAAGTCCTATGCTTCACTTGGGCCTCATTAAAACATAAATAAGTTAACTATTTCCTGTAGGGTTTATCATTTGTAAGACCCGAAAAAGTCACATCACATTATGTCATGTTACTATTTTTAGACAATGTAATTTGTAAAACATGGCTTTCTAACAATGTATTTCCGCATGCATCTAGCAGTAACAATTTGTTTGTAAAATCTTTTGTACAAATATGTTTTCGTCTGGGTTAAAGCCCACAATGCTGGCTCACATTAACGTAGAAAGACCTAAGCTGTTGAGAGATTAGCCAAACGGAATGACAGGATGTTTTATGTTTTATTAATATCTTAATGAGATTGGCCAGACTGTACAACCGTATGTTCTATTAATAGATTTCCGCCATTAAATGACTAACCGTATTTGTGGAGTTGTGGAGGTTGTGTGGTGTTATGTTGATGTTCTGGCTCAGCCAGTATGACATATTATGGAATGCTAAATTTCAACAGAGCAGATTTAAATCTTATCATGGTCACCGTCTTAAGTAGCAACAGAGCCATACAGTACCAATTTCCCAGTATAAAATTGTAAAATAATCAGGGTAACTAACTGATTGCCCAGCAGTCTATTAAACTCTGCGCTCACTAATAATAATTTTAAAATGAAACATTTATAAAGAGACACAGTTATGGATTTTAAATATTGATTTACCTTCAGGATGTAAAACTTAAGCACAGTCCAGATAACAAGGCATGAGGCGCCAAGGATCCAAAACACAGCGATGGGGCCAGGTAACGGCTTAGTCACTGTGTTCCAGTCAAATTTGAGCACAATCAGAAACTCGGTAATGATGATAGCAGCAATGACCCATGACTGGCGACCAAACTTCTTGCACTTTCTAGAGACGTGTCAACATAGAACCATTGAGTGAGGAAAATTATACAACTGTGATGTGAAATGATAAATCTAGTGTCGATAAACAAAAAAATGAAAGGGCATTAGTTGAAATTTGTTGCAGTATTGTGGGTTAAAATAAATCAAAATTTGTAGAATTTTGTTAAAGTGTTGTAAGAAAGAATGGTAAGCATTTTCCAGTGAATGCTAAATTGGTGACGCCATTAGTGTGTTTGAAAATGGATTATGGGAATAACAAAAGGTAATTAAAATAAAAGAACTTTTACATTAGTGTGTACTAATTGAGCAAAACCACTAGCGCTACTTTGTGCTTTGAAAGGAGAAAAAAAAAAAGCTACAAAAAGATTTCTTGCAATTTAGTAATTCTAAGCACAACAAGGACTATAAACACATAACACATCAAACAATATCTAGTGTCTCATTTACTTGTTGGTGTCTTATTTACTTGTTGGTGTCTTATACTAGTTGTACTATATTAATGATCATTTTTTTTTCTCTAGTATTTTTTCTTCTTTAATTTCAATTTTCATTAGCATATACAATTCTAATCCTTTTAGTAACAAAATCATAACCCCTTGGATTATTAAATGTCTAATATTAACCCATTCCTGCCAGATGCAATTAAAACTAAATGCCTCTTTCGGGGCGCCCCACGTGCTGCATCCTAATACACTTCTCTTATTTCATACACATACCCCCCCCCCCAAACAAAAGCATTAGGAGACGGGGAAAATTGGTGGAATTAAAAAATAAAAAAAAAAAAATATTAACCCCTTCCTGCCAGATGCAATTAAAACTAAATGCCCCTTTCGGGGCGCCCCACGTGCTGCATCCTAATACACTTCTCTTATTTCATACACATACCCCCCCCCCCAACCGAAGACTTCAGAGATGGCGTAAATCTGTGTGATTTAAAAAGAAAAAAAAAAAGATTCATTTTTCCAGCAGGAAAGAGTTAAGGGACTATTTTTAATCCCAAAAAGACATAACTGAAACGAAGTGGCTATTCACACCCGGGTATCAGAAGTGAGAGGTGCGCATAGCCACTATTCGGAACCGGGGCCCTTTAGACTAAATCCCATTCGGATGTCATTTGTGGTAGTTTATTTTAGCTCAACTGAAGAAGTAAGTTTACAAACATATAGTCCATTCAATTATCTTTGATTTGATACCTCATTTTGTCTTACAAACCCAACAATAATATTTTAAATAGTATTTTAATCCCAACCTCTCACGTCTGATACCGGGGTGCGAATAGTCGCAGCCTAACTGAAAGTGCCATAAATTTGATGAGCTTAAAATAAGACCCTTTATTTTAGTTCACTGAGACTTCCATTAGATTATTTTCCACTGTCTTGGGTGAAAACATGGCTTACGGATCATCCAAATATTGAAAGACTTCTCTCATAGCAGCCGCTCCCATAAACAGGAAGAAGACCAGTCGACTGAGACACAGATAGTGCTCCGGTGGAATCCACAACACAAATTTCAGGTAAAATGTATTAAGTTCGGCAAGCAAAAACTGAAAGTGCAAAAATATAACCAATTTGTTCTTTTGTAAAATGAAAAGACAACAAAAATAAGAAAAAGTGAATAAGACATGCTTAAAAACTTAAATGCCTTCTAATTTTGTTTTACTAATCATGCAGATAAGAAATTTAGTAAGTCTGAATTACAAAAAAAAAAAAAAAAAAAAAAAAAAAAAAAAAAAAAAAAAAAAAAAAAAAAAAAAAAAAAAAAAAAAAAAAAAAAAAAAAAAAAAAAAAAAAAAAAAAAAAAAAAAAAAAAAAAAAAAAATAAATAAAAAATAAAAAATCTTTTAAATTTTTTTTTATAAAAAAAAAAAAAAAAAAAATAAAAAAAAAAAAAAAAAAAAAAAAAAAAAAAAAAAAAAAAAAAAAAAAAAAAAAAAAAAAATCTACACAATGAGGAGAAAATGAAATAAATTTAAAAACTATAGAAACCTACAATAGCTATAACAAATAGCATTGAAAGCCATCGTTTGAGGCTTGATGTGGGCTTCCAGTCATAGTCCATCCAACTGTGAGGTGTAAATTGCTGAGCAAGTCTCTTTAACATGCCCCTAAACAGAGACAACAAGACAAATTTATAATAAACAATTCAAGTATAAATAGTTATGAAATGAACTCTTTCACTGTGGCGCAATGCACAGTACCTTCATCTGCCATATTTAAAAGCACAGACCAACGCGTTGTTTGCTGTTTCATTATCATAGTTGTTTCTTTGCTATTTCTCGGTTAAGAGCTATTTTTTTAAATTAGATTTTTACATTGAAGAGTGGTAATTCATTGCTTATGATCCAAACCAAGGTTTATTTGTTGTCATTTGAAGTATTATTTTATTTATATTCTTTGCTGTTTTTTTTCTTCTTTATCAATACTGTTGCTATAGCTACCCTCAGCTAGACGATTAACAGCTCAAAAAGTTTTGGAAATGATTTATATTATTTCTTTTGTTAGTGAAGATGATTTAGATCCATAGCATGATTCCGATAGCAGGAGTTTTAGAGTATTTGAGTTATAGCAGTGAAGTTGATATATCACTAAATCAAAGGGCTTGGGGAAAAAATTTTTGCATATCATGTTTTCACATTTTAATTTTAAGTTTCTTCTCTGTTACTTATTTTAGTTAAACTGAAGAAAAAAGTTTAAAAACATATAGTACATTCAAAATCTTTCATTTGATACCAAATTTAGCCTTGTAAACTAAACAATAATATTTTTAATATTTAATAACCCAACCTCTCAATCTTTTTTGCTCTTTGACAAAAATGTAAATTTTTTCATTTGAAAAGTTATGCAGCGAAAGAGTTGTGTCATTTTAGTTTGAATTCAAGATGTTATATTTGGAAAAAGAAATAAACTTACAAGATTTAAAACACAATTTTGTTTTCTTCTGAAAAGTTTTTTTTTTTCTTTTCATTTTACCTTCTGAACAACAATTTTAGTTAATATTTGTGGAAAAAAAAAAAAATTGTAACATAGTAACACTAGTACAATAAATATAGAACTTACCTGTAGGTTGGAATATTCCACATTCCCCGCCAGTGGTATGGCTTCATGCTCAAATAGTTCAATGTTTTCATCCCTAAATAGATGCCTAAACCATTGCACAGAATAGCATCCATGATCCACTGTCAAGGAAAGAATCCCAAATATTTAATTATCCAATTGTTACAATAACACTGACTTCTAGACAAAAAAATTATAATATATAGGGCTGGCAAACACAACCATATGAAATCAAATAATTTTTAGAGAATATTTATTGATACAATTTAAATCCATGAATGCCATTGTTAGCACATATTTATATTTTTTGTTTTTTTTATTTGTTGTATTCAAATAATTTTTCTCTTAAATTATTAAGAACTGGTTAAGCTTTTACAAAAGTATATGTGTGTGTTCTTGCAACATGTACATTTTTTTTTTTATAAAAGGGTGGGGGTGAAAAGTTTCTTACATGGTCCCACCAACATTCACTGAAGTTGGGCAGCTGATGTTCTAAAGTGTATTCCAAAATCTCAAACATTATGCTCAAAACTGTGCACAGCCACCAGTCTCTTAAAATCAAAGTCTGGAAAGTGTGAAGAAAAAAAAATCAAAACATAGTGCATTAAAACATTTTTTTATCATCTTGAGATTAACGAAAACAAGTTTAAACATAACGCTAACTTCCATCTACCACTTGGCAATGCTTAGACCAGTGACAGTGGTGAGTGAATGGTATTTACGTCAACAGCAAGTACTTACTTTGAGCCACCAACCAAAAAAGTGCGTTGGAACAAAACCATCAAACTTGTCCTGATAATAAAAACAAAGGGTCAGACTTTTATTTTTCTTCAATCAGTTACAATAAACGTTCAAATGATGTCGATGGTAATGGACATGCATAAAACACAGATCCTTTTTCATATCATTTCTTTGCTTTTAAAAATCTTAATTGGCGGTTGAAAAAATTGGATTTTTTAACATATAAATGAATGACGGCTAATGATGGTTCAGAAGCACGTACCCACATATTGTGGAAAGGATCTGTATGATTGTAGTCATATATAAGACAATTTCCACCATAGTCTTTTTCTGGGAGAGGCTGTCCCAGAGTTCCATCAAAATGTCTCAAGAGGACACGTGCTGAATGGACATCCTGAGAAGTCATAAAATAGATTCTTATTAACATCTTGAATAAAGTGTATATCCCAGCTCACAAAAAATCTAAAATCTCAAAGCTTATTCAAAAGATCCTCACAGAATATATTTTTCAATGCCAAAAATTATTAACTGAAGGCATTCATCCATTAATGCCATCTTTTCTAAATGTTTCTGACAAAAAAAAACAAGCAAAAATACTTAATAAATGTAGTTCTAAAGTAGCAACAGAATCTTAAAGTCTTGAAAAGTATATTTTTTTTAAAGTATTACAATTACAACTAGGTCTATAATTAATATTATAATCTAACATCCATTATTATGTACAACATAAAATAATTCACATACCTGAAACAACAGAAAGACCAATGATAATTCATAGACAATGCTCATGCATAGAATCAAACGCCATAATACTGAAAAAAACCCACCAATTTTTAATAGATAGTTTAAACAAAAACTCGACACACAAATATGTTATTTAAACAAAAATTATTAAGTCATAATAGGGTCAGTTTATCAATGCTTAAAACTCAATGTATGTGACCTTATATCCAGGTATTCAGGGGCATAATTAATATAACAAGTATTTAGTTCAGGCTTTCCATGCCACTTCTGATATGTTGAAAGCTTACAATGAGTAATTCTTATCTTTACATATCCATGTTTGGTTAGGTGGACTTGATCAATAGCTATATGACAGGTAGCAAACTTTCTGTGAGAGTGTTTGCTTAACTTTAATGTTGATTTTGTTCATCCCACTAAAAGTAGGAAAAAAGTTTGTTATAACTATATAATAAGAAATTTAAAAAACATTTAAATAGCAAAAGATTCAAGAACTTACTAGGATGAGGTCTGATAAATGGACCATCTGGTGTGTTGATTACTCCAAAAAACAAGAAAGCCAAAATAATGGCAAAAAGCCCTCTGATGAAAAGCCAAGAATAACTTTGTACTTTCATTTTTAGCATAAATCAAAAGCTATTTTCATAGACAATTTTACATGGTATAGACATAAAGATTGGGGGACCATCAGAATCTGCCTAATATATATGCAAAGGCTAAATGCTTCCGATATATGATGAACAATGGCAAACAGTGCAATTCGCAAAGGTTGATAATCCTGACAAACACTGAAATATTGCAAACAGTTCTTACTCTTTTCTTTTAAATCCAAAAATGTATTAACAGTTAAATGTTTTATCTTAAGCAATTAAGCATTAGACAAAAATCATGTTTAGTGTTTCTCCTCTAGTTCATGAAATCAAAAGAAGATATACTTTTATTGTACAATAGACTTAAACCTGTAGGGCTGAGACATGTGTAAGAAGACATTTGAGACTAAAGTTGGTCATCAGGGCAAGATGACTAAAAAAGAGCTGATTTGCTTCACCACTGTTTCAACAACCTTCTTTGAGTAAGGAGTTGTAACCTTAATGTACCTGCCTCATAAAGTCTAAAAATGTAACACTTAAGCTGCCATAATTGGAACCATTTTGCAAACACTAAAGCTGAGACACAGGCAAAAAAGCAGTCAAAACATTTTAAATCACAATTCTGATTCCCTTTTTGAAATAGTCTAACGCCATGCCGAAGTAAATAATTTTTAGCACAAGTTTTCCATCTTAGGCAACTTTTTCTAAAGTATACATAGATAAGTTGCTCTGCACAATGACATCCAGAACCTATTCAATAATTAGGCAGTACTAAGACACAACTATTTGGTTAAATTTAGATGTAAATATTAATTGAAATTTGTACCCAATAAAAAATATTGGTATTAAAACATGGATTTTCCAAAAATTAAAACCAAAAACCTTTAACAGAAAGTGTTTACCTTGTAAGCCCAAAACATGTGAATATTTATTAGCATTTTACTTTTCTGAAAAATAATTTTTAATGGTTACAAAAAATTTGGTAACTTTTTTTTTTTTTTTTTTTTTTCAACCTGAGTTGAGTTATTATAATGAAAATTTAACAGTGAGTCATATTCCATAAAATATCACTGATCCCACCTTTTAGCATTGTAATCAAAAAAAAATTGGTAACTTTTTTTTTTTTTTTTTTTTCAACCTGAGTTGAGTTATTATAATGAAAATTTAACAGTGAGTCATATTCCATAAAATATCACTGATCCCACCTTTTAGCATTGTAAACCCTGTCAGGGGATGGTTCCTCAACGAGGGCGACGTAAACCAGTACTCCACTGAAGACAACAAGAGCTGAAATAGTGTGAGCCCTCCTGAAAGAAAAATTATCAAGATAAAACCATGTCATGTCTTTAAAGTAATGTGGAAATAATTAATAATATTTTAACAGCAAAAAATGAAACTTAATCTCTTCAGGGAGCATTTAAGGTAAAGAACAGCTATGTTCATTTCTTGAGTCTACAAGTTTTATTCATTAAGATTTAATGAAATCAACAATTTAATAAAATGTTGCCAAATGCTTGTATGACATCCAGTTTTTAATAATAATTGAGTATATGAGTATATTAATACAATCGTTGACCAGCTTGTTACTTTATATTTGTATAAAAATATCAAATGGATGGAAATTTAGAGTTCTTAAAAGAATTTCAATTTTCAAAATTTAGTTTTCTATCATACCAAAAAAATGTTAAAGTGCCATCATCATAGAAATCCTTATGAATACGTTTCTCTGTTTGCCAATCATGTGCAGTTTGTGTGTGCAAAGCCACAATGTCTTGCCCATTTAATCCATTTTCATTTTTTTCTTTTCTGGCAGAAGCCATTTCATAAGATTACCTAAAAAACAAAACAAAAAATATTAAGGTAATTTTAAAAAATATGAAAAACATATATCTATATTGTCACATAAGGTGAATATGTGCTTCTTCTTCTGTGCCTTTTCAACTCCCAGTGGAGCTTAGGCCTTAAACAATGTCTTTCCAAGCCTACAAGTTACTAGCTATCTCCTCTAGGTCTCTCCAGATCTTTGTTGACATCTCTTGCCCAGGTAATTGTCAACATGATTGTAAATGATTGTCAACATTATTTTCCAGTTAATGCATAATGGCTGTGTTGCTTATGGTTGAAATGGCTAGAAAGACTTTGCCATTGTATGCTTGTACTTAGTTTTTGTCGTGTTGCGTTTGTTTTAAATGTGGTAAACTATAGATTTGTTNTGTTGCTTATGGTTGAAATGGCTAGAAAGACTTTGCCATTGTATGCTTGTACTTAGTTTTTGTCGTGTTGCGTTTGTTTTAAATGTGGTAAACTATAGATTTGTTTTTTGTTGACTTTGTACCGCGCTTCGAGCCTTTGGGGATGAAGCGTGTTTTTGAAATGAACTTTATTATTATTATTATTATTAATTTTGGGTCTTCCTATCCCTATTGATCCTTGATATATATTTGCATTAAACAAATTATGTGCAGCTATTGAAATAAATTCCTAGAACTGCTTTGTACATATTCTTCAAATTCTCCATTGCTCTTATATTTTATATCATCAACAAAAGGAAGGTCTTTCAGGCATGCATGAGCTATGTGCTGGATGCCCCTCATGGGGTGAGTTCAATTAATGAAATAAGATGCACTACTTAAGTCATCATTAACAAAGTACACTATGATTATCATTGACTTTATATTCGTCTAGTACAAAGTCCTATTAAGCCTATTAGTAAAAGAATTGTGAGTCTCTTTTTTCAAAACAATCACTATGAAAACTGGTTCGACAACAATGATAAACTAATACTTAAGACTTCTACTTTACTATTAATATTAATGATTTAATGTTTTCCTGCTCATTCTTTAGCATACCAATAAATTTAAAATAGATTACTTTCTTAAATTGAATCACTTTGATTTTAATTTGAATAAATAGGAAAAGTAACTCACAAACCAAAAGCAATACTATGGCATCTAAGGCAATAGCCTTGAATAGCCTAATCACTAATCTTTGACTCTTACTCTTGACTCTTGGAGCTTGCCTGAACTCGGTCAATAAAAAATCACTGAAATCTGTTGCAATGGACGAAAGCAAGTGTGAAACTACACTATGTGATCGAGTCAGACGATACTGTTTAATAAAGTAATTAAAGTTAATGTTGTAGAATGTAGACAGTGTAAGTGTAAGTAGTAAGTCTAAAACTAAAAATGTCACTTACACTAAGTTACTAAGTTAAGGCGTAGGCGTACACTCTCACACTGTAACTGTAACACACTCTACAATTTGACTACAGATATGAACATTTGGTCAAAATATTTGAAATTGATAAAATTTAATTGTTCTATGTTAAATAAATTTGTATTTCTTACCACGGGACCAGCGTGATGGATCGCGAAAGGTCTGAAACAGGACTATTGTAACTAAATTAATACAACGGATAAACAACAAATCAGGCCATAAGACTAGAGTTCTCTAGCTACCGCGTTATCAATATTGCAGAGATTACATCGAAATGGCCTTACACAAACAAACAAAATATGTAAAGCAGATTATTATTTTTTTTTTACAAAAAATTTGTCATTTAAATTTAAAATAATTAAATATTTTCAAGTTAAGATATAAACTGACTAACTGAGACTGACTTTTGGGCTGGTTCTTAGAATTACGCACCACAAATAATATTTTATAATTTAGAACACAGCCGCGAACATGACAGGGTGTGGTAGCGTAACGAAATTACTGACTGGTATGGGACGGTGGTCATATTGTATAAAGCAAAGGGGGTACTTAGGGGGTTGTAATCATTTAGTTATATCGTGTGAGGGTGGCAGCGAGCAATGTAAATGTATATAACCATTATTTTTATTTTATTTTATTTTATTGGGGCTGATTTTTTATTAATTCTTTATTTTTTAATTTTTATTTGCTTTATCTCAATTTACGAAATTGACCAATATTAACATTTATTTTTGCCTACAATTAGTCTAGCATATTTTTTTTAAAAATAATTATTATTTCTGGCTTTTTATTTTTGCTTGAAATTTGCTTGTTTCGGCTTTTTATTGGTCTTTATTCATCGTCATTTCCGTCTGACAAACATTTTATTTATAGTAACAGTTCTTTAATAAAAATGCTATAACTCAATTTGTGTGGTCAAAATATTTTATGGGGGGGGGGG